TTTGTCACAGCCCCTCGTTTGTTGTCCTCTTCTCCCTCTCTGCCTACGGTTTACCGGGCAGTTCTATTTGACGATATATATATATATATATTTACTAGGCTACCATCCGGGCCGCCCAGGTCACCCTATTTTCCCGGACGGCCCGGCCGTGCAAGGACGAGGGAAGGTCCTAGCAGGAAAAAAGAAAAGAAAAGAAAAAAAAAATCCGGGAAAAAACTATGTTATGCAGAAAAATGAACTGAACAATGTTTGCCTTAGGGTCACATCGAAATTCTTTACCATTTAATTCGGCAGGCATTGATGCTTAACCACAGTCCGGGTTAAGGTGGATTATCACTTACAGTGTAATCAGTTAGGGGATTCTGCAGACTGTTGAGAGTTCAGCTTCCTGACGAGTCGGTGAAACTCCAACGAAACAGTTTGTCACAGCTCCTCGTTTGTTGTCCTCTTCTCCCTCTCTGCCTACGGTTTACCGGGCAGCTCTGTTTGACTATATATACCACGACCTCGCCAGCACCCTGCTACGGTTTTCTCCCGTCAGGTGGAGCGGCAGTGGTCGGGGCCGTCACTACGCGGCCATGCTGTGCCTCTAGTGCCAGCGGCATGTCTGGAGAGTATTTTTTGGCTGTGACAGACCTTTCTTTGTTTCGTGGGTGTTTTGCTTGCTTGTGATGGGGATGTGAACCGACAGTCTGCAAAGTTTTCCATCAGGTGTGGGTGAGTGATAGTCTGCTTTGATTTCCGTCACAAGTACCTTGAGTGCAGTGGTTGGTGCCCACCTCAGTGTAATCAGTTAGGGGATTCTGCAGATTGTTGAGGGTTCAGCCTCCTGATGAGTCGGTGAAACTCCGCCGAAACAGTTTGTCACAGCCCCTCAGTTGTTGTCCTCTTACAGTTTACTGGTAAACTGAGGCAGAGAGGGAGAAGACTCAGAAGAGGACAACAAACAAGGGGTGGGGCAGTTGTGTTTGACGATATACATAATGATTCTATGATCTATCATTATTGTTTTTCTTTTTCCTTGCAATACAGCATTATTCCATCCATCAGGATTTGCAAATCAGGACCTCGACAATAGCATGTGTGGGTGTAGCCCCTAACGTCATTGTATCATCTGATTCCCTCATAGGATTCAAGCTCTTTTTTTTTTTCTCTGTTTTTTTTTTTTTTTTTTTCCCCAAAGGATTCGAGCTCATGATCTGCAAATCAACGGTCACAGGTGTGTAATACTGTGTATGCTTTGTACCATCCAGCTGCATTGAAAACACAGAGACAAGTCACAAATGATAATAAGGGTGATCAATCGCCCTAGTAAGCTTTTCGTTTTCTGTTTTTGTCGACTGCTCATGGATGCATGGTAAACAAGATAATGATCATAATTCCCCAAAACAAACTCTCACCCTCTTATTCCAGATGTCTTTTTTTGCCCCCAGGCTAACGGTAGCTTCCGGAAGTGCCGGACGACGCCCTGTTTATGATCTCTACGCGGTTTCTAATCACTCCGGCTCTTTGGGCGGGGGCCATTACACTGCTTATTGCAAGACCGCGGAGGAGAATTCCTGGTACTCCTTCAACGATTCCATCGTCACACCCATTGGCGAGTCGTCGATTGTGAGCTCTGCGGCTTATCTTCTCTTCTACCAGCGACGAGAATGAGAGATCATGGAGGATCAACTTGCGTCTGCGAGACAGAGCCGTGCCTGTACGTGCAACTCACAACCCTCCTCTCCGTCGTTTTCCACTTTCGTGCCTTCTTGGTCTCACACACCCCTCTTACCTTTAAACCCCAAACAAGTACACGGTCCCAGCCTTCCAAGATTTTTTTTTTTTTTTTTTTTTTTTTTTTTTTTTTTTTCCTTCCAAGATTTCTTCCTATACCTTTCTCGGCCTTTTGGCTAAGATCAAGTGTAGTATCTGTTCTGATCAGTTTAATATCTGATCCGTGGTCCATCGGGTCACATTATTAAAAAAAAAAAAAAAAAAAAAAAAAAAAAAATATTTCCTTACCTCCTACAACTTTGGAGGCTCAGGGCTACCGGACTCGAAACGGCTGGCGGTGCCAGCCAACAGAGAGAAAGAAGTGCACACCGGCGCGGTTCGACAAAGCTTGGCACGCAGTGCAATTCCGCCAGGCCCGGGTGTACTGTTTGTTTAAGACCCCATTAGACCCCATTTTTAACCAATCCCTTCGACGGGGCTTCGGAATTACACATGACGTGGCCCCATTGATTGCCCAGGCGGGGTTTTCTCAGGTAGAGGGTGTTCCCTCCAAGTTTTTTTTTTTTTTTTTTTTTTTTTTTTTTAATATGGACCTTTTCTCGATTTATGCGTGTCATCCTTGCGCAGGGGCCATGCTAATCTTCTCTGTATCGTTCCAATTTTAACAGATGTCCCGAAGGACTTCCTCCACGTTTTGACGAGGTTAGTTAGGCCAAAATTTAAAATTTGTCATTTTGCAAGGTCCCTCTCGACCCTGGCCTTGGATATATCCGGATTCAAGGTTTTGGACTTCCTCGGGATGGACTACCTTTTTCCCCGAACATAACATATATGCGTTGTAAACAAATACAACGCATACGGTGTGTTCTATTCGGATAGAACGCATACATGTTCTATTCGAATACAATGCATATGCGTTCTATTCGATTTTTTTTTTTTCAAATTTGAAAACTCGAATACAACGCTTATGGGCTATGGTCGGGGGATGAAGGTAGTATTGATCCTCCAGCCAAATCAAGGGGTTGCTTGAGGAGGGAGTTTTGGGGCTGAGGCGGGCTATTTGCTCCGATGCTAAGTTCCTCCAAGGAGTGAGTTGGCAAGGTTTTTTCAAGTTTTTTTTTTTTTTTTTTTTTTTCCTTTTTTTTTTCATGCAAGGTTCGCTCCTCTCCCTAATGAAGCAAATTTTCTTGTGTCAAAAATCAACCATCATTACTGTTGACGATTATCTTTATGAACAAATCTTCTCCCTTTTGTTTACTTTCCTTTTGACCGGGAGGGGGGGGGGAAGGGGGGGAGGGGGTGCGAGTGCCCAAGGGCCAAGGCTCAACTGATCATATGCGAGACAAAAATGCACACACCCTTCTTCCGATTGACGCTGGAAGAGCCGGGACCACCACTGCTCCCGGGAGAAGAGACCCTAAACCCTAATTAGCACTAATCAATCAAGGACAGGTGGCATTGACTGCTTCCCCATCAAGGAATCTTATGCATTGACCTTTTTTTTTTTTTTTTTTTTTTTAAAGAAAAAACCCCAGCGGTTAAATATCGCTTAAATGTCGCACTAAGTTCAGAAGGAGCACGCTTAAGAAATTCGCTGCACACTGCACAGATTCAATGTACCGAGTATAACCAGATTCAGTCAATCCCAATGTTCGTTCTAGAAGGGACAATACGTTGTAATCGAATCTTTGGGCACTCAGGCCCCAATTTTTTAAAAAAAAAGGTTGCAGGCTTGGTTGGGTCAGCCTAATTAAGTTTTAATATATATATATTTTTTTGCGCTTTTTTTTTGAAAGGGTGATGGCCTTGAGATATCATCATTGAATTGACCGCCCCCAGGTAATTCACAATGATGATTTTATTTTGGTCATCTAATTGTATCTGGATTCGAACTTGGGTCTGATTCATATTTCAACAGTTCCTAGGTGTACCAACTGAGGTAGGCCCGCTGGGAAGTAAGTTTGACTTAAGTTTGATTTTTTTTCACTAATGATAGACTCCATTGCATTTTTTTTAATTTTTTTTTAGTTTTTTTTTTTTTTTTAACGCCGGGAACCGGACCCGGCATCCCTTACAAAATTAGGTGGGGCCCTCAGCGGGCAAGGCATCACCGGCCAAGCACATCGAATTTTTAAAGCATCATATTGAATACGATCTCTTAAACCACCAGTACTTCCTACAGTCGCGTAGCGTTAACGGTACGCAATGTTAGGAAACGTACGGGCCACTACAGGAGCGCCCAAATTCATCCAACTAGAAACGTTTCTACTCTTTTTTTTTTTCCGCGGCCGATAGCTGGGCCAAGTACTGGTGGTTTAAATTTCTAGTAAGTTGCATGAAAAAAAAAAAAAACTTATTATCAATCCAATAACCAGACTAATTGCAAAACTTAAATGACTACTATAACAAAATAAGATCGGACGAGATTTCAACCCATAGTCGACTCCACAACAACTCCACAGCCCCTACTACTGAAAAATCAACGAAAATTCTCGGCAAAATCTAAACTCATCACCAAGAAACTCTAATCACAACAGTCATAACAACCCTAAACCCTAAACCCTAATTCCACCAATCATGAAAAGAAAACCATACACAACAGGCAATCAAAACCACAGAAAGGAACCAGCGGTCAGCGCTATTTGATCATGTCCTCTATTCATCCAGAGTTTCTACCAACCCCTGCCAATCCGCCCTGCCACCCGTGCGGCAGGGGTCTGTGTCCACAGGCCCCAAATTGCTGACAGAGACCCCGCAAACCCACCCACCTCCTCGCGATTCAAAGCGGATAGCACCTCCCTACACTCTCCATACAAAAACACCAACTCCCATCACGATGATGTTTTCATTAACCAGGGAATTACCCCACCTCCGGCGCGGCAGGGGCCAAAAAGCCCCGCAAAACCCACCCACCTCCTCGCGATTTAGGGTAAGCCCCTTCCTCAATTCTGCATACACCCCCTACGGATGCTTCCCCGCCCTCCATGACGAAGCCCCAGTGGAGCAATGCTCACCATTACAGCAGGACACCAGCCTATTAGGATGAAATGAATACCTGACCCAAATTCATCATCTTATACTCCATTGTTAACTGAGCTGAGCTGTTAATTTTACTGTTTTTTTTTTTGTTTTTTTTTATCGTTCCCATTTTAACGGATGTCCCGAAGGACAGCTGTTAATTTTACTATTTTTTAATTGTACGAATTTTTAATGCATGTCTTAAATTATTTTTCTTCCTTTTGTTTGGGATTCCAATCATGTAAGTCTCTCTCTCTCTCTCTCTCTCTCTCTCTCTCTCTCTCTCTCTCTCTCTCTCTCTCTCTCTCTCTCTTCTGGTTACATGTCTGACACATGATCATGGTGGTCTTTATCGGGCTTTATGTGTATTGCCACACATGTGTGCTGCCGCTCAGAAATCACCTCCACTCTCTCCCCCCTTTGCATGGGAGGGGGCTGCAGCAGTTGCTGTGGGGAACCCTCAAGACCCCCCTCAAGACCCCTCAAGACCCCTCAAGGCCCCTCAAGACCCCTCAATGAGTCCGCAGCAGTTACGAGAACCCCTAACCAAAGTCAGCGGCTGTGACGACCTCTCACCAGTTGGCCAAGATCTGTCCGTGTGCGATTGTGGAGATGGCTTCAGAAATGTGCGACAAGTGTGGATTTAGAATTGTGCGACGCATACGGATGAAGTTACAATGCTGCAACGAATACGAGGATCATGCCGTCCACACATGTGATGCAGCTGCAGTCCTCAGAGTAGTCCCCCCCCTTCTGAATAAACAGGGGGGCACATCCCTTTTTTTCCTGCTGGCCGTCACATGAGTTCTAAAGGGGGTCCCTGAATCAGCAGCAGTTGTGGGGTTGGGTTGGGGTTCACAAATGTTCAGCACCTCTGGATGAGGACAGGAAAACGGTCCCGACTCTCGGCTGCTCAGCTCCAGCGGCTGTGAGGAATCTGAGGATGACAGGCGTCTCAACATATGTGCACCACTTACAGAGACATCAAGGAATCTTCTCTAGATAGTAGATATATATTTATTTATTTATATGTATATAATATATATATATATATTGTCATAGATATGTGACAATATATTGACATAGAGAACTGCCAAGTGAAAGGCAGGCAGAGATATGTGACAATATATTGTCATTTATATATATATAGTTTGTCACAGCCCCTTGTTTGTTGTCCTCTTCTCCCTCTCTGCCGACGGTTTACCGGGCAGTTCTGTTTGACGATATGTACACACACACACACACACACACACACACACACACACACACACACACACACACACACACACACACACACACACACACACACACACACACACACACAGAGAGAGAGAGAGAGAGAGAGAGAGAGAGAGACCCTGCTACGGTTTCTCCGGTCAGGTTGAGCGACTGTGGTCGGGGCCGTCACTACGCTGCCATGCTGTGTCTCGAGTGCCAGCAGCATGTCCGGAGTGTATTGTCTGGCTGTGATAGACCTTTCGTTGTTTCGAGGTTGTTTTGCTGGCTTGTGATGGGGTGTGAACCGACTGTCTGTAGAGTTTTCCATCTGGTCTGGTTGAGTGCTAGCCTGCTTTGATTTCCGTCACGGGTATCTTGAGGGCAGTGGTTGGTGCCCACCTCAGGGTATCAGTTGTCGGGCAGTCGTTGATGCTTAACCACAACCAGGGTTAAGGTGGACTCACTTACAGTAAAATCAGTCAGGGGATTCTGCAGACTGTTGAGGGTTCAGCCTCCTGATGAGTCGGTGAAACTCCGACGAAACAGTTTGTCACAGCCCCTCGTTTGTTGCCCTCTTCTCCCTCTCTGCCTATGGTTTACCGGTTTGACGATATATGTATATATTTGTATATATCGTATATATATTGTACATATATATCGTCAAACAGAACTGCCCGGTAAACTGTCAGCAGAGAGGGAGAAGAGGACAACAAACGAGGGGCTGTGACAAACTGTTTTGTCGGAGTTTCACGGACTCATATATATAATATTTAATATTATTAATATATATATAAC